CATTACCATAAGAATATAACATTAGACTTGTGGGAGCCAGATGTCTCTTCTCAGTTCCCACATGCTGGACTCAAGAGGGAGGAAACCTCTTCTGCTGCCAGTTCTGCTGGAGTTAATGAAGTTCAAGTCCATATGTAGCTTGCTACAGGGCATTCTAGCTGTACCAGGGATTTCTGGCAAGGAGAGGAAGATGTGATCTCCAGGTCAGGCTGGATTGTTCAGACATCGTAACTCTACTTTTACCTTACAAGGACTTTGATAGGATAGATACCTTAATTCACTGTTACTGTACTTTGTCACCTAACAGCTTTTCTCAAAGCAGAAGGCTTTCATTGCACTGTGCAGTTGGAGCTGAAGGGTTGGACTGATGGCAGCTAAACATATGAGTGCTTTTATAGCCTGGATTAAGGCAGTCCTAGATAAATACTGTGACACACACAGACTGCTTTCCGCCCTGCAGCTCAACCTAGCTAGGCTTTCCTGTTTCTGAACACAACTTAGTCATGCATGGTAGTTCATTTTTAGCAATGGATAAACAACTCTTTTGCTTAGTTAGATAGGTGCTAAACCTTCACTGATTCATGACCATCATGAGTGTGCATATACTGGGCTTCAGATTTCATTGGAAGTCTGGCTGTGGTACTGTGATGTACATCTGGCAGAATCCTTAGGGCTCCTGGCATAAAGTGATAGTAGTATGCACTTTGTACAAGAAAATATTTTAAGTAACAGTCATGAAGAGATAGGTCTAAATCCACAAGCATTCACAGTCTGTGCCTACATAGGTGTAGATCCCTTCATTTTTACAGGTCTTGCTCCTGCTGACCTGAGTTTCTTTTGTGAAATTGTGGCCATTTTCATTCTTAAAAGGAATGATTGCTTGTTCCTGTGGTGGCAGCCAGTTTTCTTTCGCTTGTGTAAATCGCTGAGGGAGGATAAGTAAACATTTCGAAGTGAAATAATAGCACTTTTTCCCAAGTTCAGAATTAAATGGATAAGCAAAATTTATCCTATTATTTATTTTAATCAGGAAATACTAAAAGACCTTCAGAGAAAAAGCATTGTAACTTCTGTCTTGAAGTAGCATGGAGATGGTCTTTGTGAGTCAGAGCATCTCTGAAGCAGCAGTGCATGCTTGTCGTCTCTTCTCTGCATTTTCTCTTAGGGGCTTAACAAGGCATGCAGCTGCCCCATGACCTACTGAAGGATATACAGAGTGGTGGAAACTCACAGAAAGTCTTGTAAAGGCTTTTGGAAGTGTCCTGTGGTACCCCCAGCTAAAAGTTGTACTGAGGATGTGTTTAGCAGAGAGGGGTAGCGTATTATAGCAGTAAAGTGGAAATCTGAGTATCTTACACAAAAAATAACATTCCTAATACAGATCTCTGCAATTACTGGTTATTGATCTGTGGAAACTGCCAAGTCTTTCACAGATAACATTGTTCTGGGAGAGAGAAAGGAGTTCAGGGAGTGTTGTTGCAGTAACATAAAGTATTGGGTTTTTTTATTAGAAAAAATGGTATTATTGGAGTGTGGAGATAATTGTAGATGTTAAATTGGTTCTTTTTTGAGATGCAGCTAGAAGTTGATTGTTTAACTTGTGTGGGTTTTTTACTTTAAAACTAGTTTGATTAACAGTAGAGAGTGGAAAGCAATGGCGCTTTCATTCTTGTTCGTGTATCCACATTGATAAACCCACACACAGAATGTGTATGCACTGGGAGGACAAATGGACTTCAATATGCCTTTTAAGTGCTCTATTTAAAATAGAAGTAATGATACTGTAGAAGAAATAATTATTACTGGATGTCTACTGTAATAGTAATAATGGCTACTGTAATTTGCAACAGCTCCGGCATGTTTACTGCATATACCAGTAGAAGGCTTTCAGAGTGCCTTGATTTCTGTTCTAGACTGTCTTTGGGAAAGTCACCTTCATGAGCACTGAGACCATGTGTAAGTGGATGGTCTAACTCAAGTAGACATGGACCTCAGAACTCAGCTGAAGTGGCATGGCAGATAGTCCTGCTAAATAACGTTACTGCTTTACATTGGCAAGAGGAACTCAATTAAATTAGCAGCAGTGGGGTCCAGAGTACTAACAAAGGCAAAAGTTATGACTTCTGCATTGGTTTTGTAACTTTCAGAGTGAGAAGCCTATAGCAGTATATTGAACGTCAGCTACATCTTGAATGAAGTAGCTCCTTCTCAGTTCCCTAACAAGAAGACATAGTATTTCCAGGAATGTTAATGCTTTTGAGGGTTTCTTGTTTTGTTTTGAAGTCAGCTTCTAACAGATGTATATTGTAACCTATTTGCAAGATGATCAGACCCAAATTGTTCATTGTAGAGGGGAACATTATAATTGTCTTTCTGTGGGCAGGGTTAGATAATGAGACTTTTCTCTTTGAGAGCATCTGTGACAATATAAGTAAGATTTTCTGTTGAAAATGACTCTGGAATCAAAGATTAGGAAATGAAGAGTTTTACAGTAAGTTGTTTACTGTCTTCAAGTATTTGGCATTTAGCATTTGCATTCTGGACACTAGTTCTTAACAATCCTTTATTTGGATTGAAAATTGCAAACTAGGTGTTAAGATTTTAAGTGATTGGTTTGGGATGTGTTAGTGTCAACCAAGCAGGGAGCAGTGACAGCATTTTTAATGGGACAATATAGGAAGGTTATGAAGGTGCACCCAGTCAGTTTATCAGACAGGTTTTTTTCTTTATTCAGCCTTTTGTTTAATTCAGCCCTGGGCAGATGAACGGGGCTGAGAAGCAGTTGAGAAATCATGATTTGGCCTTAAGGAGAAATATAATTTATTTTTGCATAAAGTGCACATGCACCTTAAATTGTTGTGTGAAACTAGATTTTAATCCCTGTGACATGTTCCATTCTGCTGAGTGGCTTGAATTTCTGTCAAGGAGCTGAGGGAGCAAAAATCTTGTTCCTAACATTTAAAGCAGACTAATTTGTCTGCAATGCTATGCACAGTCCTTATAATTAAAAAGTTCAAGGCAAATGCCAAGTGGCTGAAGAATGTCTTTCTCTATTTTTGTAAGGCACTTCAAGTCTGGGTGAAACATCTGTTTCCTCCTCCCTGCAGCTCATTTCAGAGATTAATATGCTTCTAGTGAAACCTCTCTGTGACGTGTGCTGCTATTCAATGAAGACGTTTCAAATACCGACACAAAACCTAATTGTAGCTTCTGCCATTTCCTGCCTCTATTGGAAAAAAAAAAAAAAAAGGCATTTCAAAAAGATTTGTGAGGTAAAATGGGAGTTGCCAGTCTGAGTTACACCTACAATAAGAAGCTGTGGCAGAAAGTGCTTGCAAAAGTGGAACTATTTGGCATTACCCATGCCATATGTGCTGAGAGATCACAGCCTATGCAAATACAGTCACTATGCAAATGCTTTTACCATTAATTTCTGTCCTCAACCTGAAGAGCATGGAAACTGTGGAGCTCAGAGGGGAGACAGATATACAGAGATATTTTGAGTCCCTTTCTTCTGCACAAATTCTTGTGTGATTTTTGAGAGTCAAAAATTGAGACTTGAAATACATTGTCATTTCTGTGCAGAGATAAATTTCCTGTAACTCTACAGTCCATTAAAAATACAGATGTTGATGAGAAACAGTGATGGGTGCATACCATCCAAAATTTCAAACCAACCAACTTTCTTAAGTTTTTCCTCTCCCTGTGATTGGGTGCATCACCCTTCACTGTGCAGAGCTGTTTACACAGTGCTTACAGTGATGACAGAATCTGTTTCAGTGTTTAGATAATTTTTTGGGCTCAGGCTCCTGGAAAGCAAGCAAAAAGCACCTCTGTGAGCTGGGCTGACCTCTGACTGGGCTAACAGGTTGAGTTGAGGTTGAAGATGTTTTTGCAAAATGAGACTTTTTTACAATTACTGTCCTTTTCCTCAGCTGTCAGAACAATCACTGCATATTCGTTACAGCTTCTTTTTGCAAAGAGACTACTTGATGCAGCTGACTGCTGTGAAATACAGAGGTGTTTTTGTCAGTTCCTGGAAAAAACAGACATTTCAGTTTGTCTTCTCTTCATCTCAGGCTCTCTCTCAGTTGGTGTGAAACTGTCGGTCTGGTGAAATCAACAGAACGGTTGTTAGGAGGAGTTACCATCCCTGGCTTTCTGGTACTTGCCTGTGCAGCTGTGATGCCTTAGCCGTGACCACCACGTTGACTTAAAGTAATCTGCTTTTTTTGGCACTGGCATGGATTGGGACTGCTTTCACAAGCACGTCCATGAGATAGTAGTACAGTAACAGCTGTACAGTTAAATGCCAGTCACTGTAAGGCAATGCCACCAAAGCTACCAGTAAAATTCAATAAGACAGAACCAGCAGCAGAGAGCAAGCAATGAATGCTTGTTATCAGGATGCCTCCAGTCATGATGGCAAAATCCCTGTGAAGAGGGTGAAAATCCATGGCCTCAGTTTTTTCTTAGGAGAATGGTGGTTCAAAGGACAAAATAGCTCTGTTAATTTACTGTCCTGAAGTGTTTATAAAGATGCATCTTTGATGGGTGAGATTACAAACCAGAAAACTATATAGAAAAGAAAGAGTACCCTGAAGAGAGACATACTATATTTTAGTGAAGATAACTGTCTACACACACATTTATTTTAAGGTTAACATTTGAAGAGCTCTTTACCCAAAACTGGAATATGTTGCTGCTTATAGGAATGAAATAGTGTGTTTATCTAAGCCATTGAGATGTAATTTCAGTTTATGCCATGTTAGCACAACTAATCCTTTCAGTGATGTTCAGCTTCTGCCAATTCAGTCAATGGACTAATTGTGTGAAGTGAAGCATACAAGCACAGCAGTGTTTTATGTACTACATCTCACCACTTCCTGACCCTGTCTCCCTGCACACTACCTTCTTGCAGTCTTCTAGCCAGATCTGTTGTACAGTTAGAAATGCCCAGATTAATTCTCCCTGCTTTGACAAGCTTCTTTACATTGCAGGAGGCCAGCTTTTATAGTGCATCCATAGGAAGCGTCTCCACTACAGCCTTTCACCACACAGGAGACAGACTGAGGATGTAGGCAGCTGACAAATGTGAAAGCAATGAAGAGGTGTTCCGAGGTTGACAGTGCTTTTCATAGTACACGCATTTTCTGGGAAGGGCATAAGAAGGGAGATAAACAAGGGACGATTTTGGCAAGCTGAGAAGAAGCTGTAGCAGACGAAGATGTTCCAAAGACAAGATCACATCAAAAAGGTAAGAGCACCAACTTCACCCTGTCCTTTTTTTCCTGCTGCCTGAATATTTTCTTCAAAATCATCAATTCTTCATTTGGAAACGCTGACATTTTCTGGAGAATCATATAAATGCTATAATAGCCATTCAGCGTTACTCTGAGAAAAACACAGTACTATTTTTATAGCTCAGTCTAGCCCCCTCAATTTCTACTCTAAAAGTTTTTTTCCAGAAGCTCTGCAAAGTGATAAAATAATGATAACAGTTCGAACATCAGAAATATCTCTGCATAAGTGCTGTATTTAGAGTAATAATCAATCAAAACAGAGGAGGGGAAGTCACATGGCAGTTGATAAAAAGTCCTGTGTAAGACTTTGACTCAGGACTAGAAATAACTGAAAATAACTCTGAAAGTCTTATTCTTAGTTAAACTGTTTTTACTTAAGGGTCTGCCATCAAGGATGTATGCCTGAAAGGTCTATGAATCTCTGTTGTCAAAAGAGTGTCATGATGTCATGCATGCATCCAAGGGGAGAGCATTGAGGGGTTAATTTGATCGCATTTGAGACTAACAATGCAGCGTCACCATGTAATATAGGATGTTACTCAGCCTTGCCCTAAGTATACAGTCAGCTGAGTAAATGATGAAGTTTCTTGCACCAGCATGGGTTTGGGCCAAAACTGAGGGATTTGGAAAATCCCACTGTTAATGTTCTCAGCACAATTGTTTTAATGTAGCTTACAGCTAGATCAATATTCATGTTCAATTATCTAATTTTTCTTTCCTGTTTCTACATATACTAGAGGAAGTTTTATTAAAAATAATAATGTTCCCAGTTTTAAGTTCTTTTATTTTAAAAAATACCTAAACCATCTTTCCCTAAACCTTCTCTGTGGTCTGTAGTCCTGGGCAGAGAGTATACATGGAAAAAACCAGTAGTACTGTATATTGTTGCCTAACTTTTTATAATGTTATGAGAAACAGAAGAGGGCCTTGCAAAGTTAAAATAGTGCACAATGAGAACAGCCTCCTAGAATAGAAATAAAGCTTCCCCTGATTTTGAGTAAGACTTGGTCTGAATGTTCCTAAAAAAATCCTATCCCTAGTTATTCGCTTTTTATGGGAGCGCCTGGTAGGATATGTCAAACAATGTTAGTTGCAGTAATTGGCCTTGATAACAGTTTCTAGTCTTTTGGTTATCAAATTTCTGCTCCAGGTCAGGCTTCATATGTTCAAATGGACCATATTTACCCCCTGGTGTTTTGGAAAAACATGCCTGGAAGCTAAAATGTCTGTGGTAGCTGTGGAACTGACTGCCTTCCTTTCAAAACTTGAATGCCCCAAGAGGTGAGAATGCTTGGAGGGCCGTCATTGCTTGGATGAACTGAACAACAGCATCTCACCACTAGGCACTTCCTAGTATTTCTAAAGCATGGCAGACTTTGAGACCTGGAGTAGTTTTTCATTGGCAGTGGGCCAAGTCATGTTATTAACTTTAAAGGCATTCATACAGGGTTTCCCACATAAGGATCTAGGCATCTTTTGGGTCTTGGCCCAAGTACTTCACAGCTCTGAGATCTGCCAGAGCAGCTGAGAAACAAGGTAAATTCCTAGAACACTCTAAATGATCTGAACTGAATGACCAAATTCTAACTTGTTTGAATGACTGTCTTTGTCATTTGTCTTTCAGATCCTCAGGCTCCATCAGCCACCATCTGATCATATTGCAGCAACATAGGTGTTGCCATGAGGATCAGGAGGTGTCCTGTCTACTTCACAGCTTATCTTTTGGTCCTGCTGGGTAAAGACCAAAGAGAACTCGATATAGAGGCAGAGCACACATTTTAAGAGAGCTGATAAGTCAGTTCCTGCACATACATGCATCTGTTTAAGAGTTGCCCAAGTCCAGAGGCCTCTGTGGCACTGCATGGATGTAAGAACTTTTGCATGTATGGGGTTAGATTCTGCTTTTTGAGATATGATGCTCCGACGAGGATTTATTCTATTTCTCCCCCGACTTGTAGGCCTGCTGGTAGTGGCCTGTTGCTCAATGTCAATTGTTTATATGTTGGCTTGTACACCCAAGGGTGACAACCAGCAGCTTGCCTTGCCCAGGGTACACAGTCCGACTGTGAAGGAGGGATATGAAGCTGTTCTGCAAGAGCGAGAAGAGCAACACCGCAATTACATTGTCAGCTTGAAGAAACAAATTGCCCAGTTGAAGGCTGAGCTCCAGGGCAGGACCGAGCAGTTTAAGAAGATGCAGAACCAGTACCCAGATCCCTTGGACGTTTGGCTTGACCACAGTAACCCGGAGAAGGCCCAGGCTAACCTGCTGGCTTTCCTGCGTTCCCAAGTAGACAAAGCAGAGGTGCACAGTGGTGTTAAGCTGTCCACGGAGTATGCGGCTGTGCCCTTTGAGAGCTTTACCCTGCAGAAGGTGTATCAGCTGGAGACGGGGCTGACACGCCACCCAGAAGAGAAACCTGTAAGGAAGGATAAGCGAGATGAGTTGATAGAGGTGATTGAATTAGGAGTTGGGAGTTTGAACAAACCAGAGGGGGTCAGCAATGCAAAGCACCGTGTATACACAGCCTCCGACTTCGTTGAAGGTTTGTATGCAGACAGCAGGTTAAAAGGGCCACATAGTGCTGGTGAGGAGTTCTGGTGTGACTGAGTTGCTGAGGGGGATGGGAGTTTTAATCCACATCTGACTTAGGTAAATTTGGCATAGGAGAAAAATCTTGCCTTGCTCATCTTCAGATGTTTGTGCTGCAGACATAGAGAACATGTGGGTAAGATGCCTACCTTTTATGGAATGACTGCTCTCATGTGCTGATCGCAAATCACTAGTGATTTTGCTGTGGATTGTTTTCTTCACTAAGCATTTATGAACAGAGCATAGCAAAAAGCATCCTCCATGTGATGAGTACAAACTGCTGCTGTTGTGCATTGGCCAGTCATTATTTTCCACTCTGTATGTTTCTCTGGTGGCAGTAGGTTCTTGAAGCCATGCTGGGATGTACCTGCCAGCTGGGCAGGTGCCTCCCATGGCAGGGATGTGAGTTGCTTAAACTGTGGAGATCTCATTGAGGAAGGTGCTTGCTCCCCTCTGCTCCAAGCACTTCCTCCACTCCAGTCCAATTCTTCTTCCTCAGACACGGGACCAGGGGGTGGGCAGAGAACTGGGAAGTGCTTCTGGCTGCCAGCATTTGAATGCATCCTGGAACTACATGCTTCCATTCTCCTCCTTTCTGTTTGTTGTTCAGTTTAGCTTTTCAAAATATGTTTCTATAGTTTATTATAGGTGCTGAACAAGCCTGTATGACTCTTTGGCATCAGCTCTTCCATGGGAGAGGGTGAGAAGATAGGAAGATGTTTCCTGCCATACAATGTTTAATATTCATTAAGTTTAGAGCCCACCTTTATGCACCATTGAGGGTCTTTGACTGGGTACCACTGCCGTGCTTGGGGAACAAGGCAGAATCTGATGTACCTTCCCCAGAAAGACCTGGGGAAGAGATGCACACTGCAATGCTGGCTCTGTGGAGGTTCTTCATGCATTAATGGTCTTGCTGGCTTTCACATACCATGGTGAAATACTCCAGAGGGAGGAAGCCTTGCATGCAACTCAGAGCTCAAGAAACTGAAGCCCCATGTGCAGGTCAGTCTGAGCTCAAGAAACCTTCCTTGTGTCCTCACCTGCAGAGCAGGCCCTTGCTTCTGTAGGTGCGAGGGAACAAATTCTCATTCTCACTCAGCAGACCAATTTGTTTGCAAATGCAGGGAACCATGCATTGGGACTGGAAACAAAGAGATTTGGCAGAAGATTTCCCTGCTGAGTTCCTTTGGAAGTCTCTGTTATCTCTTGTCACCCTCTTTTCCCCCACCCTCCATTCTCCAAGAATGGCAAAAACCACTGATCAAAGCACAAACAAATCCATTGCTCTGTGTGACTGGAGCAGGTGAAGGGAGGATGGAGTTTTCAGTTCCAGTTTTACATTTCAGTTATAGTTTGGACTCACAACATGTTTTGGAAACAGTGCTCTGCAAGTGCCCCTGCCTACACAACAAGTTAGTAATAGGCTAGATTCTGTGTCAGCTTTTGGCAGCTTAATATAAATCTAGCAACACAGCAATCATGGGCTGCATTTACCCAGCCACCAAGCCAACCAATGCATTTTCTGGAACTGCCCAGGGTATCTGGAGCTTTCTGGGAGACGTGGCCCAGGTCTGCACTGAAAGTAATACCACTTAACCCTTAGTCTTTATCTTCCAGCTACTTCAGCAATAACAGCACACAAAAGCTGTGTGCATCTCTTATGCTAAACATGGAGGCAACTGTCCTCGCCTTAAGGTTGATCAGATGCTGAAATGAAAATCAGGTAATCGGGGTCAGAGGCAGGATTAAAAACCTAAACTGCTGCTCTTGGTAAGTGAGATTTGTGTCCTTGTTTCTTCTTTGTTCAGCAAAGCCTTTGACACCAGCTTCACTAAAACATGTTGCTGATCCTGAGTCTCACCAGAATATAGAGTCATGCAAGTTAATCTTGTTTGCTTGGGCCTCTTGTGAGGATTTTTCTGTTCTTGTGGATCATATCTGGCACTTTTTCAGTGCTAGTTCCTTGCTAACATATGCCATTAGGCAGGGTGGTGGTATGGGGTAATAAACTCAATTAGGGTCTATATCTCTCCCTTTTTTTTTTCATTTTTTGCCTTTATTCTTGTCTTTGCAGAGGGAAAATGTTTCTTCAAACACTTCTTACATTTAAGGAGATATGTTTTGTCTCTGTGGCTGGGATTTCTTAAAATAAGTATTGCATCCTCTGCAGTTTCTAGACAGAGCGACTTGTGCGTGGGAATTAGACTGTGACCCTAGTATATTACATCTGAGTTAAACTCCTCCTCAGCAGAATTGCTGTTACATGAAATTTGGATAGGATTCTCAGACAGTTCTCCTTCCAGAGTAATAGCTGACACGTAGTGGAATTTTCCATTTTTCCCCCTTATCCAAAGCCAAGGGAGCCACACCTTCTCCCTGGAGCCCGACATGTATCCATCTGGCTGCTGCTCTGCTCTGCTTCTCTCTTTACAGAGACACTTGGGCTGTTCTGCTGTTACAGTGCTCCCTTCTCCCCCTTATTCCTCCTACTTTTGGACCAAGTTCACTAGTTTTCTGCCATGGGGAGTCAGGAAAAACCAGCATGAAAAAAATCAGAAATTTCTATGTATTGTAAGCAGGCAAAGGACCGCTCTGTTTCCAATAGAAAGCCCCTTGCTCAGTGAGCAGGGTAACAGGTCTGGTCATTAATATATGTAAATAGCAGCAGAGCTGAATAGTTTTGGGAGTCATTCATTTTCTCAAAGATGGAGATAATAATCTGGAGACTCTGACAAGCCAGAGTTGTGTTTTCCATAAGTGAATGGAATAACTGTCTGGTGATACTCTTTCCTAACAGGAACAGTTCCAGAAAATCCCTGGATTGCTTAAGAAATGCCCTGCCATGATACTGTCAAATATGCTGTATCGTAACTTTTCCTACTTGAAGTACGTGGCTGTCTAGTGACTGAAAATTTAAATAAGGTCTCAGATACAAATTGAAAAGAGTAGCATTGCTTTCTCAAGGTGGCTTGACTGGTGATGGTGGGCTACCTGATGCAATTTTGCCCTGAAAGCTTACTGGGAGAAAGGATGATGCTTTTCCTCGAAGGATAAGATGCTGTATTTTACTGCACATGAAGTGGGAAGACCATTGTAATACAGAGTTAAAATGGAGCCAATGAATGCTGACAAATCCTAGTAAGTGGTTCCTATAACATCTAACAGAAGACAAGTAATGAGTATGGGTCCAGAGAGTGTTTCTAGTGACAGCGGAAGTCCTGAAACCTGTGGTCTGTGGAACTGATGCTAAAATTGTCATCCACTCACCAGCATTTTGTTAAGAATTCGTTCTGGTTCGCTAGTTACCCATTCCGTGTAGATCCATGTAGGTGAAACTTGTTTGCCTGCCCTGTTGAATAGAGATCAGGTACTTACCATTTCTTTAGAGAACCTTGGAAATTGCTGCTCTGAAGACTGGACACTTACCACTCTTAGTCAACCCTTCAGCCCAGGTCTTTTTTTGCTTCTCACTTGTTCTTTTCCTTCATTTTAGAGCTGCTCTCTCTGCTGACCCAGAGCTCCTGTTTATTTTTTTACATTTTCCAAAGACTTTAACTTTTCTCCCTGCCTCTGAAAGGAATGATGCATATTCTGAAATGTGGCTGCTGTAATGGAAACAACAGATGATTGATTAACCTTCTTTTATCCATAGTGAGCATCTAGCCTTTCCAAGGCCTTCATTTCAGGAGGAATCTTTTCAGGAAAAGGTTTTTTTGTTTATTTTCTTGACACTACTTTTTTCCTCTCCTTGTAGCTCATATCTTAGAATTCAGGCTGCTTTACACATCTTTCTGAATCGCTTAAAAAGTCCTGGTGGCACAAATGAAGTAGTGCCTTCAGAAATGGAAAAAAATTATAAAAGGAAGGATATTCTGCTCGGCGAGTCCCCAGAATGACTCAGGACATTCAGAGTCATTTCCGAGACTCACCGTCTGATCTTGGGCAAATCACTTTGTTCTCTGCTTCTAAAAAGTTAATAATTAAAAAAGGAAAGAAGATGCTTAAAAATGGAAATCAAATTACAGGCATTAAACTTGAATACAGTTCACTTCAATATAAAATGTTAGGATAATAAATTCTTAGATTACCATTTTGTGCAAGGGAACCTTGCCTTCACCTAACTGCTTGCTTTCAGCTGTAGTAGAATTACTGAACAAGAACAAAACTACAGAGTTAGAAGCAGCCTGTGTGTATAGCACTAGGAGGGATCCTCCTCTGGTCACAACATGCACTGTGCTTTAAGGTACTTCTCATTTGTCAAGGCTTCCTTTATTGTGTAGTACATATCTCTCGGGAAGGGGTATTTTTGAGATTGTCATTTCTTGTCTGGGTTAGAACAGGATGCAGAAGCAAAGACTTTGAGATGTTGTGTGGTAGGTATTATTAAATTTGTTAATTTAATTTAGGTCTATGTTCTGAAAAATGTCAGTTCACTATGTCAAACGTGTGAAATTGTCATATCTATTTCTCTCTAGAGAAAATGCAAATCAGATTTAATTTACAGTTTTGTTTAGCTTAATGTCAAAAGGTTGCCTTAACCTTTCAAGCACAAACTTTCTTTGTAAAACCTGGGTTCAAAAACTGCCTCAGCAAATGAGTGCACCCAACAACACACTCAGATCATCAGCAGGCTTTGTAAGAATAAATGGGTAAGCAGAATTCAAAGGCCCAGATTTCCATTCTCTGGCCACCATGAGGAGGAAATGAAGGGATTACTGGATCACCATTCAGGTGATCTCAAGTTTAATAACATATGTAGTTCCATATGGTCTGCACCTTGGGCAGACTATATGGAAAAAGGTAGGAGGAGTCAAGGGCACAGCTTTGAAAGATTAACAGTAAAAGAATGATGGAGCTGCTATCTCCCTAGATTCATCTGCTATGCTAGAAGGAGGATTGGAGCATTTGTTGACTCAGCTTATATTAAAAATAAAACATGAAGTGAATAACAGATCAGTAAATCTGCATACATTATTAACCAATTGAAGCATTCATTAAGAACAAAACACAGAATGATAGTGAAGATAAGACAGTCCTCAGAACTCTCACCTCATAAAATCACATCTCATTAGTCTTTTGATTATATCAATGTAAAAACTGTAATACAAGATGAAGAGCTTGTGCCACTTTGCTGTTCAATGAAAACTTTAACCCAGACCTTCACAAGAGAAACAGGCAGAGCTGACAGTCTATGGATCAGATGCACAGCAGTGTTACACATCAGGGAATGAACAAGATGAAAAAAAAGCATTATTTTGGTGTTGTTTTTCATAATGAGAAGAAACTGTGCTTCATAGCCAGATGTGGAGGGGAAAAAAAAGAAAAACAAGTCAAGAGGAGTTTTTTTCCAGACATTTTTTACTTGTCTCTTTAACTTCTGCAAGAGATGGAAGGCATTGCAATTATACTCTTGTACTGATTAAGTTGTTAACATGCTTACAGTGGCTTCATGAATTGCCATTAATTATTCCTTCTTAAACCTAATGGATCTGACAATGAAAAAAGCTTTATTTCAGTATGCACTGTAGGAACTGAAGTATCATTTAGAGTGAGTAACATCTATAGCCTTTTTGACACTTGCTCTCATTTAAAGTGTCAGAATAGTGTTTCAGTGAGGGATGGCAAGGATTTCTATCGTTCATGCTGTCCCTTGGCATGGGACCAATTTCACCCACTGAGTATATAAAAAGTTCAATCCATACAGAAAATAAACACGTTTGTATGAATTAAATGTCCTTGGAGACTGCTTAATGAAGTCTCCAGGATTGTGTCCTGGGTCTAGCCTCCAACAAACTCTGGAGCATCATCCTTGCAGACCATTACTTGACCAGGAGTGTGCGTCATTGCCACAAAGGAAATGAAAGTCTCTCAAGAGCTGAGTAACAGGAGAGTTTTGTCCTGACTGACAGTGGGTGAAGCTGATGGCTGCAGAGGCCTGGTTGCATATCGTTATTAGGGGACTTTCCAGAGAACCTCCCAGAATGAATGAAATTAAATGTGCTCATCAGGAAATTGCTTTTCTGGGAGATGGCCTAATCATTCCTATTGCAGGGAGGCAGGCTGCCTTTTGCAGTGTCTCTGCATCCCATTACCATGCATGTCTGCAGTGTGCAATTGGAGCAGTCTGAAAAATCAGGACAGTATGTCTGCTGGGTTACACTGAGTGTGAGCAGTTGGTAACCTTCAGGGGTTTGTAACCCAGCCAAGCCTAGAAATGTCCTGCAAGAATACCAAATAGCTCCGGCAACCCAGGGCTGTGTCCCTGCCAGAGTGACAGCCTCCTCCAAATGATGGTGGACTGTGTGCTGGTTTAGAAGTAAATATCTCAGGCCTCTGCTGTGTTCTCAATTTAGGTGTAGCAAATGAAGACTGCATCCTGTTCTTCCACCCAGGAGCCCAGCTTTAATCATAAATCTCTTCATTTTTGTTTTCACACAGGCATCTACCGCACAGAAAAAAATAAAGGCACATTGTATGAGCTGACTTTCAAAGGAGACACAAAAGATCAGTTTAAGAAGATTGTTTTATTCCGGCCATTTGGTCCTGTAATGAAAGTGAAAAGTGAAAATGTCGATATGGCTAACACACTTATTAACATCATTGTGCCATTGGCCAAGAGAGCCAGCAAATTTCGGCAATTCATGCAGAATTTCAGGTGAGTTTCCACTACAGAGCTGCCTTTGCTTTGTCTTACTTGGAAAGTAAGAAGCAATTTTAGGAGTTATCCTCACTCGCTGCTACTTCTTCATAACAGTTCATTGTGCCACCAAGACATTTTTGAGATTATAGACTGCAAGGCATTTGTCTGCTTAATGCATTGTGATCAGCAATAAAAGCAATTATAGTCCAGTCATCAGGGTTTCTGATTTGCATGTACCTGACTTATGTGTCTCAGTCTGTTTGTGGGGCACACACAATTGTGGCAACATGAGAATTTCATGTCAATAGTTGCAAAGGAACATTTCTAAGGAAAAGGGGAATCAGTGCTCCCAGACACCAGGCCACATTAGATAAAATACTAAGACAACAAGAAGCATGAAGGAAATATATTTGAACTTTCAGGATAGTTACTTTTAAACTTCTTTTAATCTTCAGCACGGAGATGTTTGGAGATGTAACTTTAAATAGCTGCCCCTAAGACTGTGTTATGAACAGATACTGACACTTACAATGGGATTTGTTTTGCCTAATTATAGCCATCTAAAAATAGGCTCCTTGTCTAAAAGCCATCTGATAGGTACTTGTTTTAGGATGAGAAAAATCACCCTCTGGTTATGCTGATCTCTCTGCTGATTATGGATAAACTCTTGCTGACTAAACTTAGTGCAAGTGAGGCATAGTGTCTAGCATTAGTTCTGATTGGATCTGAATTCTGGAATATCTGTTACAAAAAATCAAGGTTATGAGGTAAGGTATGTATTAAAATCCCCCTTCTCATGTTCTTGTAAGTGCTGGAGTTGTTGCCTGCCTCATCATTCTTGCTGGGGCTGGATGGCCTGTTTTAACAGTGTCCTCCTACTAATATAACGAACAATGCTTAGACAGCTTGATCCTACTCTACCTGAAAGATAGACTTCTGTCCCATTTGACAGAAGCAGTGATCTCCTTTGTCAGGACAAGGATCTCTTGTCAGTGAATCATGCCCCCAGGAATGCCTCCAAGGTTCACCCTGCTCTGCCTTCCCCAGCAGATGCAGGTTATTGAAGAAAGCTAACTTCTGGAACAAGTCAGAGATCTGTCTCTGTTCTCTAGGGAAATGGGCATTCAGCAGGATGGGAGAATTCACCTCACTGTAGTTTACTTTGGAAAAGAACAAATGAATGAAGTCAAATCGATACTTGAAAATACCTCTAGGTAAGTACCTGAACATCTGATGTGTGCTGTTCATGCACTGGATTGTTCTGTGGAGACTACATAACTGTTCAAACTTGTAGTTGGGCCAAAAAGTTCTAAACTGCATTGGAGAAAATGTGGTTTTTTTGGGTTTTTTTTTTTTTTTTTTTTTTTTTTTTTTTTTTTTTTTTTGTTGTTGTTGTTGTTGTTTTGTTGTTTTTTTTTTTTAATAGACTAAAAACTTGTTACCCAAAGAGTCCCATACCCGTGGTTTTGTGATATTGGTTTTTAGAACCACAAACAGATTTTACTGATTTTTTCCTCAATGCAGCTTTGCTTTTATTTTTTTTCTCCCACACTGATAATGCTTTAGTTCCTTTGAAAGTGGTGTTAACTGTTAGGACTGGAAGTTGACTTCCGAAGGCAAGTGGAGCACACAGAAACTGGATTCTTTTGGCCAGTTCTGGTCTATTGAGTTTGCTTAAATAGCTGTGTTTGTCAAGATCATGTGGCAGTGTAGTCTTTTGTTATCGTCTTCACGTAGGAACAATACCCTTGTATAGATACAGTAATATGACCACAGGTAATTTATATTGGCATACTAAAGATATTTTTGTCAATCTAAGTCTTGTTGGGATTTTTGTGAAGTCTGTCCAAAGAAAGCCTGTGACAGAAATGCTAGGGTGTGAGTTCACAGATCAAGCTCTGGATGTAGACCCAGTGGAAATCTCCTCAAAAGTCAGAGGACATCTCTTCCCTCAAACAGCTCTCAAACTGTGGTACTACAACTTTCTAGGTTAATTCTTTCATACTGGGTTCTCACCCCTGACTTGTGTGAAGAGTTGTATGGACAGGGTAAGTTGCTGAATATTTTCCTTCTAGGTCAGCCAACTTCAAGAACTTTACCTTCATCCAGCTGAACGAAGAATTTTCCAGGGGCAAAGGATTAGACATTGGTGCTCGATTTTGGAAGGGAAACAATGTTGTTCTCTTTTTTTGCGATGTGGACATATACTTCACAGCTGAATTCCTGAACTCCTGCAGGTTGAACACACAGCCAGGTACTGCAACTCATGAAGTATATTGTCTTTCAACAGGTTTTACCTATTGTATAAAAGCCTTCACCATAGTATTCTTGTCTTTCAATTGCTAATGAAGCTACTGTAAATCAGTTGTTAATCAGTTGTAACAATTCCTGCTCCCACTGTGATTGAATCTCTTGCCTTCAGCATCTGCTTTCTTTTTGTTAATTATATCCTCATGTTCACATTCTTATGCAAAGAATATAGGCTCAGTGCAAAATTTGTGTAATTTTTTCTGGATTTTGTCTGCCCTGGAGAATGTCTTGTAAGAGATGGAAGTGTGTTTTATACAGCCTTTTAAAAAAATAACCCATTGTCATTTCCAGGGAAGAAGGTGTTTTATCCTGTTCTCTTCAGCCAGTATAACCCCAGTATAATTTATGGCCACCATGATTCTATCCCCTCTTTAGAACAGCAACTGGTAAGTATATTCTTCTCTGAATGCCTGCTTTTATTTAAACAAAGCATTTTTTAAATGTGCATGAGCTCTTGGGTAGCATTTCCCTATTCCTTGTGCACAGTGACCGCCACAGACAAAATTAACTACAACAGTCCCCTTATGGTGAGTTCTGCTGGTATGTTTAGTTGACAAGGTGGTGTTGGGTCATAGGTTGGACTTCATGATCTTAGAGGTCTTTTCCAACCTAGTTGATTCTCTGATTCTGCGTTTCACAGGGAAGTATCTTGGTACCATTCATTTTAACCCTTTTTTAAAGTTTTTACATGGAACCTAAGAGTTTGAACTGTGTCTGCTTCTCTGCCAGAAGGGATTTTCTAATTAGCGAACAGTTCCTCCATGGTGTGCTGTCTTGGGGTGACAGTCCCTGATCCTGCTCTATTTCTTCCTTGCACTGAATAGTATTTGCATTTGAAGAACTGATGTTTATAAAAAGCATAGCTATCCTTAGATGAGTCAGTGAAAACAAAATTCCAGGGGCTGTCACACTTTTTCCCTCATTTACTTGAACACCTTACAGTGGCATTTCCCATCCCACAGTTCTTGATTAAACTGCCTGCGAGCAGTTTGTTTCTGAAGTGTACCGGCGTTGTCTCAGAGTCAAATGACATGCTTGGAGCTGTCCCTTCTGGCTTTTATCTGGCACTGATACAATACAGCATCACTCCACTGATTTCCATCTCACCTGCTTATTTTTGGTGTGAGAACAAAGCAAGTGTTTTTAAAAACATTGCCAGAAGGCACATGATTGTGACATGCATGAGTCTCCTTGAGGAGGAGGGAGCTGTTGTGAAGAAGAAAGAGAGCACACAGACGAGAGGTTCACATGAATGCTAATGACAGAGCCGTTGCTTGACACTGCTGCAGACACTATTCTCCATTCTCTTGTGCTCAGGTGTTGCACTGTATTGAACTTAAGGGCTTGATAGAAGTGCTTCATGCTTCTCTCCGGTCACAGTCCTCTGCCCACTACTCCTGCTAAGTGGCTGAATTTTCAAATTGAAGCATAAGCCAGCTATGCAGCTTCATTCAGTTTCTCTGGCTCATGTCCCAACAAGCCACATCTGCCCCTCTTACTGCCAGGCACTGCACTTATCAGGGCTCATCATGTCCCAGGCTGGACACTGTCCCCAGAGCATCCCAGCTTCTATTGTTGTTCTGGGTAGGTAGGGTAGATAGGAATTAGTGGTGTTGTGAGCCCAGGAACAGCCACAGCTGAAAATGATCATTTGGGGTCTGAGTCCAGTCTTCTGTCATCACTACCCCCACCTTGTAAGAGTTCCTCTTTAAAAATGAAGAATGAGAGTTTGAAAATACTTTTTTTTTTGTCTACTGCTGTCCCTGTTATCAAATATGTAGCCAGAAAACCTTTTCTGAAAAGTCTGGAAAATCCCTTCTACTGTTTTTTTCTCAGAGGAGACTTATTCTGATAATACCATGGGATTCATGTTAGCTTTTCTCTCTCTGATGAGACCCTGCCAAGGATCCTCAAGCTTGTAAGCATTGTTCTTAGGGAATAAAATAGAGTTCAACTCTCAAGCTAGCATAAAATCCACAAAGTACGTTGTCAGGATTGTGAAAATATTTATAGCTAATATTTGAATCATAAAATGCGATGCTTATGTCAGAAAACCTTCTTGATTTAAAGAAGTACAGTCAATCTCATTTTTATGCAGATATTTATATTTTTAGCCCACATTGGTTCCCAGGCATGAGGCCAGATCTATGCCATTAAAATAAGACAGTGTTACCTCTCTGTCCTGGTACTTGGGCTGCTGAGGAAAAAAAAACAAACCTTTAGAAATCTGTGATAGAATTTGATTTGTGCAGCAGCCACTTGTGCTAATGAGAAATAATAATGCTAATGCATATGAGTGGCTTGCTGTAAGGGCATCATTATGGAGACTTGTTACAGTGCAGACCTGACAGATACAATCTTGTTTCCTTTTAATTGGCTTCTGCAGTAAGTTGTTTTTTTCAAGGAAAGGAGAAATGAGAAATGAAAGCAATAGCAACGTGAGCAGTAAAAAAAAAAAAAAAAAGCTATTGAAGTGACAAGAGTTATGAACAAAAGAGGAGATATAAACAAGAAATCAGGAGAGACTACTTTGGAAGAGCATTTCTTGGTAAAGGAAACACTGGGATTTGTAAATCCAGAAATGGAAAATCTATCTCCTCATCTTCTCTAACTGTCACAAGGGAAGTCAAGATTTTCCAAAGCAGCTGCTAAGGGGTAGGTTTCTAACCAGACCTTCAAGAGTGTGAAGTACTGCTGACTTGCTCAGAGGCTTTAAATACCTGGCCCAGTCCCTTGAAGCTCTTGGATGTCTCACCATATTGGGGTAGGTCACTCACATGCATGAGTTTATAATGCTAGGGATCTATACTTGGATTTCTGCTTTTCAAAATTACAGCCATGGTTTCTCAGTGCTCCGATTTTTTACCTGTAATACATAATGTTTTCATGGTCCATCTCAGTAACATAGACTGTTCATTCATTTTCACAAAGGCTTTCATGGGACATGTATCCTAACATTTCTGGACTTCAGTTTTAGCTGGATATAGCAGTTCTGTAATAGAAAATTATTCTTGGTACTTTCCTAAGTTTTGTCAAAATTAAGATAATCAGAAAGCTGTCAGTTGTGCGATCAAGATTATAACCACAGTTTTCTTCCAGAGGTCTTGGGGTCCACAATCCAGGTGCCACCATCTGCTCTTACAGCAGAGTCTGGCTTCCCTGGTTTACCAGTATGTTTCTTACATTTGAATGCCACAGAAGGAAACTAATAATTTTGGAGGATGTTTTGCCTGCAAAGAGGTAAGCTCCAGAGAGCAGCATGTTATTGTTCTACTTGGTCTACGACAGCAGGAGTGGAACAAAACCTGATCATTTTGGATCAGGGGCTTTATCCATAATAGCTAATGACACAGCTGTTTTTTGGAAGCAGATATATGCAATGAATATCTACAAAAACAGGTTCAGGATCAGCCATGGATTCACATGGGGAAGAATAAAAGGGCAGTTGCTCCTATTTCTGACCACATTCAAGAAACTTGTCTGCTGCTCACTGTGAAAGCATTTCTGCTTCCATACAAACATTCTTTTCCCTCCATGCAGATTATTAAAAAAGAAACTGGATTTTGGAGAGACTTTGGTTTTGGGATGACTTGCCAGTACAGATCTGATTTTATCAACATAGGTAAGAGAAATACACTCCAATACACCTGTATTTTTACTAAAACAGAAAATGACAATCAGCCTCCCTTTCCTTGGCCAATGTGTCTATGTCACTAATTTGCAGCAGTGCTGTGGCTAGATATACAGACTATTCCTAGGTGCCATAGAGGTTACCAGAATCTAAGCACTGCTCAGTACAAATAAAGTTTTGTCTGATAGTTAAAGATTTGAGGCTGAGAAATTTGGGCACTTGGATGTTCACAGAAAGTGTACCTGTTTTAAAGGGCTGACTGGATCCAGAAAACAGCTGCAGTGTAATTAATAGCATTGAGTTTCCTAGTATATATTTCTAGTTTTATTTTGGATTTTGTTTGTGTCAGGTGGCTTTGACCTGGACATTAAAGGCTGGGGTGGTGAAGATGTACATCTGTACCGCAAATACCTTCACAGCAACCTCATCGTGATCCGAACACCTGTCAGGGGTCTCTTCCATCTGTGGCATGAAAAGCAGTGTCTGGATGAGCTGACCCCAGAGCAGTACAAAATGTGCATGCAGTCCAAGGCCATGAACGAGGCTTCTCATGGCCAGCTTGGGATGCTTGTTTTCAAGCAAGAGATTGAGACACATCTGCACAGACAGAAATTGAGTAGTAAGAAGACATGAAACCAGAAAGGGAGGCCACAAGGCTCTGAATAGGGTGTTTTTTAAAAGAGTTGCTAACCAGAAAAGATGGAATCAGACTGAAAGAGGACGGAAATTTCAGCAGGATGGCAGCAAAAGAAGAAGAGGGGAAAGTGTTTGTCCTCCCCACTTTTGTTTTTATTCTAATGGGGCTTTTAAGTACTCCATTAGCCTGACTTTTCAGCACTTGCTTCTAGGGGAGACTTGAACACTTGATGAGATTCAAGGTCATGTTACGGAGACAATGAACATTACATAAATGCCAGTGTGGTATTCACAATAACAAATGAACTTGTGGGCCAATAATTAGGAGTTCTTTTCTACATCTCACCTGATATATCTAAAAAGGGCTATTTTTGAATAAGTACAGAGCTCCTGCTCTGAGAAGGACATCTGATTGTTAACGATGGTTAAGCTGGAGTGACCAAAAATCCTTTTCCCTTAAGGAGCTGGGATGGGGTGGGGGACAGCAGCAGTGCAATAACAAGGCATTTCCAGTTCATCCAGAGAAAGAGGTATCTCAGAAAGTGCTTTCTAAAATTCAGAAACAGAAAACCCTACTGATCAAGTGTGATGGTTCCAAAGTACTCAAGGGGGAGTGATTGTTCTCCTCTGTGGATGGCGAACCAAAAGCAATGAGCCACATCTGTATCATGTGAATCAGATGGTGTATTTCTGCTTTAGAATACTCTATGTATCTCAAGATTTATTTTTAAATGAAGTTGGTTTTGCTTGGGAATTATTTTGTCAAATTTCAGGTTTTCTACTTCTAGCCTTACTAAGAAACAGTACAGCCTTCCAACACTTGGAAAATGCTCTACAAATCTGTGTTTCCTGTGGATGGGATCTGGGTTCAGATAAGTGAAGTGATTTTTCTACACGACCTGGGTACTGGAAGGCAGAAGCTTTATCATGCTGAAGAAAAGGAAATACATATCAACTTGCAGTACTGATTTAGGAAGCTTTAAACTCTAAATGCCAGATACCAAAACTGATGAACATTTTCTGACTTTATACCAAAGTATTCCTTCAAAACCAAATACAGAGTCTTGCCCAGGGCACAGAAAGCTTTTTGTAATTAACAAAATAAATTTTTGTGATGGATTACTGGACCCTGCAAATTCTCTTATGATAATTATAGGTACTAATCCTAAAAATTAGTCATCTTCTTAATAGATTTTTCAATTGCCAAAAACCATTGAAAGTCTGAGTTACTGCTCTTATAAAGCATTTTCTTTTCATTCTGATTGCTATTTACCATTTTAATATATACCAGCCAACAAAAACTGCATGGGCTTGGAAATCCCATTTGCTTACCTAAATGCTGTTTCTCTGAGCAGTCTCTTTGTTTTATAGCTTCAGATTAATACAAGGCAGTCTGAAACAGATTCTAATTTGGTTTTTGGCTTGTAAAAGCTGGGGGAAGGAATATGAAAGATTGAACTGAGCAATAAATGAACCACTATTTGATGTGCCACTGTGCAATAGGAAGAGCGCTTATGAACCTCTTTTGAAAGCACTGCATGCAGAATCTGCAGACAGAGACCATGCCACTGTAAGTACCTTTTCCCTTGACACATGGATAAGGTCCACATCAGCCTGTACACTTATTTCTGCAAATTAACACCCTGCCTCTCAAAATGCCTTTTTAGAGGCATTTAGACTTTCTCCTCTGTCTTTACCAGCCCATAGGTATGCAAACACTTCATGATTTGTCTCCTGCAGGACAACAACTATGGCACATTCTCCACATCAGAACAGATGCTTTTCTCTAGGGTCTTTGAAGGACTTTTTGTTTTGGCCATATTTTTAAAATAAACAGTTCATAAAGAGGGAAGGAGGGATTTTTCCCCCCTACAAATAATCTAATACCCCTTCTCATGATTGAAGCAGATTATGTTCAAGTTATTTCTTTGATACATATGATATAATGCTCATTGAGTCAATTGAAGTGCCAGAGTGTCATTAGATTCAGAATCTCAGTTTACACTAAGGCTTTATTTCCAGGAAAGTACACCTGCTGTAACTGGAGTGCAGTTTTCCCCTTGCCTTGAATGAAAATTGCCTGTCAGCGTAATTGTAAATTTTAAGACCAGATGATTACAATTTCTTTTATTCTGCATCCCTCAAAACACAGATCAGTCTAAGACTAAGGTTTTGACTGCTCCTTCAAGTTAAGCAGAATAGCCCTGATCTAACAGAAAAAAGGAAACAGGTAAAAACAGGTAAACAATTGAAACAAGATTGACTATTGTTCACTATTTGAGCATAGTGTCTCTAAAACATTATGTTAGCAGATTCACACCACAACCTTCAGCTGTAGAATTTGTCGTGCAACAACATGAGGGAATCTGAGGACTAATTTGTTATGTGATTTTGTCCAGCCTCTCCCACAGTATTCTGAATGATGCATTTAAAGAGCAGTGTAACATAAGAAGAGAGAATATTACATTGAAAGAACAACTTCTATAATGAAGTTTACACCAGATGCATCTGAGTAATCCAGACACGACTTGGAATAAATAGCTCATTTTGGAAAATAGCATTCTTTACTGGCAAACACTCTTCTGTAAATTCTATTAATACTGATATAGGTGCTGCTTTTTACATTTTTTATGCTCTGTACCTATGGTAGTCTTTTACACAAATGCCTCTGTCCCTTCTTTCCCTTTCAAAAGGTTAATTCCTCTCAATGCAGAAAGGCCTGTGTGGGATTTAAATACAGGTTAAAAGAGTGAGGATCTATATTCAGAGGCTACAGGAGTTTAAAAAATGTACTCTTCATGAAAATCCATCATCACAGAGAGCACCTTTCACTGAAAGGCACTCAGGGTTTGCTTGGATGTTCAGTTTGAATGTCCTTCATTTCAAGGACACAGCATTTTACAGAATTAAGCTTCACATTATGTAAATTACATATCAAGATCAATTCACCTCTCCAAGTTGTTACGTGCCTTCAGGAAGGTATGATTTCATTCAACTGTAGGTATTAATCTATTTCCCAGATGGCACGCAACCTTGCATTCAAGAACAAAAGGCTGCTTGAATACAGAAGTCCCTGAAAAAATCTGCAAAAACTCACTGAAAATCTGTGGCAGTATCTCCCTGTTCAACTGATTACTTCATCAACTCATTCACTCCATTGTCTGGGATACATCCAGGTGCTTTGCAGCTTGCTGGGCTGATGCATCTTTCAACTCAGTTGATATGATAAACCCACAACAGTACTTCTCCTACTGCTTCATTTTGAAGGATATAAAATAGAGGCACTTAGGGTTTCAGGTAAGTATCAGCAGCTCTATTTCCAAGTTCAGTCTTTGTGAATACAAGCATGGGACTGCACAGTGAGACTGGGAGGTTCACTCAAAGAGAGAGATGTAGTCTGGCTCTCGGTCCTCTTGGCCACATGGGTAAAGCAGCAGCTCCTTCCCCAAGGAAGTGATGGGTTCATCCTGTTGATATAGGATATGATCAAACACCTTTTTTCAAACAGACCCTACCTGTCACAACTTCACAGGATGGACAGCAGTCTTCTTGCCTCTGTTACAGTGTGGCCTCATTCATGCCACTGTGTGATCCAGCTCAGTGCCCTGGGGAACCTGGGGTAGGATCCAAGTGGGTATCCTCTGTCTTCATAACACAATGTTTGTGCTCAGTGCCATAACTCAGTGACACAACTCTGGCAGTGCTCAGAAAGAGCTGTGCTCATCTTGTAGGAAACTACAGCTTCTGTGACATGAAGTGGTGCCCTGCCTAGAAAGTGCTGGAGGAAGGACTGTGCAGCGTGCAGGTAAGCAGGACCATGTGCTTCTGCCTGTGTTTGTGGGAGAGACAAGGGTGGATCCTAGAGTGAGCACATACCCTCTGCTCAGGCAAATCCTGTTCTAACCAGGGAATTCCCTGACAGTACAGTGTCTGCTTCCAATCTTATCCTCCATCCTAGCAGCAGATGCATGGTGGAGACTTGCCTTCTTTCATGGTCACCCAGTGGGTGATAAGCAGAACCCACTGGCTCACTTTGGCAGAGTAGGTTTAGCCTGCCCACATCTGCTGTAGTGCTGGGGCTCTGTAGGATTCATTGCAGATATGGGCATGGCTCTATCTTTGATGTAGCTATGCACAGCCGGGCTTTAAATCCCCTGGCTCTGGAGTCAGTAGCTGTGTAGCTCCTGCTTTCAGTGATTTCAGCCTGAACTGTGAAAACCATGAAAGAAGCAAGTTCTGGTAGCCCAGGTAGAGTTCCATAGAGCAAATGAACATAGATATTGCCATCATGTCAAATTTTGTTTAGGCATGTTTGTATTAGGCTAGGCACTTATTTAAAAGAAACAGGGATTTTAAATGAACCTATAAAGCAAAAGTATTGTCTTGTCCCTGGGCAGATCTTACAGCGAAGGAATGAACAATCCATCTGGCTCTCCTTGGAGCCCATGTAACTGCAGTCAGTGCTGGTAGACACTACTGTTATTGCTGCAAGAATCTGCCAACCTTCTTCCTTCCCTTCTATTTTTTATCTTTGCTCAATATCACACCTTGCCTGCTTTGAGATTATAAAGATACCTTGTTCTCTTTCATGCTGAAGCTGGAGGCAAACAGGATTTTCTGTTTACCCAACTTGCCAGAACCCCACAACCACAGAAAATACGAAAGAAAGAAGTCTATATGAGTATGCTGTCACGTCTCACCTTAGCAACATTTCTAAGTAGCACGTAAGTAACTTGAGCCCTGTGCAAGGTGTTCTGTGTGCTTGAGAGTGAATGAGTCAGATCTAAGATGTTTGAGATGTGTTAGGCCACCTGAGATGTACCAATCAGGCTGACATACCCTTCTGGAGCAGCTCACAGGATACCCAACAGCAGTTAAAATGGGTCTAGTTACCTACTTCAAAAATAACTGCATCGATTCTTTCTTATTTTGAAGTGCCCTGAGGCAATTAAACAGTTAATGAATGCATTGATAGACATTTTACCTTGTGGTAGTCTACAAGGTCAGCCAGTGTTGAATGTTGCAGCTGGTCCACTCCAAGGAAGCTGTAGGAATCACTGGAGGCATCAATGAGGAAGTGTTTACATCCTTCCACAGACCGATAGGAGAGCACATAGCCTTTGATTTTCTCACTGACTCGGATCAGAAAACTCCCTGGTACTGTTTTATCTAGAAGCTCCTCTGCTTTCTTAGAGGTTAGGATACCTGTTCAAAATTAAAACACAGAACTTAATGGAGAAGAGCATTTGTGCAGGACTGGATAGAACAGTTCTCACAAGAAATCTGCTTTACTGCTCTAAACCCAGTCTGTGGCACTCCCATCCCTTGTTTTTTTGCCTAGTAGCCCAGGAAGAACCTTACTGCCATTGCTAGTAACAGACCATGGCCATGGGCTAATTGCTCTACGTTAACTGCTCCAGACTTGGCCAGCTATGAATGAGAAATGTATGGGGCTTGAAAGGACAGTTTCTGTGTTATGAGAGAGAACAGCATTGCAGTTTGTTGTACACTGATTCCAGTACAGCAGGAGCTTTACTCCTGGGCCCAGCCTATGTTAGCAGCCACATCAGCAGAAACAACTCCTTAAACAGTTGGGTTGAGGTGGGAATGCTCAAGACTTACCATGGAACCAAGGTGCTATTGTGTCCATGGTTTTCAGATAGCCAGCTCGGAGAGGGAACTGTTCCTCTTTGAACCACTTGATGATGCTTTCTTCAGTGGAATTGGACACTGTCCTCTGGATTCCCTCTTTCCTGTTAGAAAAGACTGTGGTTTGTGCATCAAGTTCAAATAGGTTTTGAGTCCTTGCACTGAAATTACCTTTTGCTTAGGATTTTAAGAACATCCATAAACAGGCAGCTTACACTACTGCAGCTATGTGGAATATGGTTTTTAGTGAACATCTGGCATTACAGCAGCTGTATGCACTTGCACTCCAGGCTTAGGACACTCTACTAAATAAACCTGTTACCCTCCAGGAGTAAACACCTGAAGGCCTCATCACACTCCAGGCTGTATTTTTCCCTGTGGGGTGTCTCTTCCACACAAGAAGGAGAGCTAACCATTCCCATCTCGACCATCCCATGCTAGAGCAGAAGAATCTCATCCCTTCTCCCCTCCACAGGGCATAGGGGCTTCCTTACCTAATTGCTCTCCCATTTGCTGTCACGGGAGGTAGAATTTTAGGCTTGGGGGGGAGAGGTGGATACTGGAGTGGTCGCCGATCTCCTGCTATGGCACCCTTGGAAATATCTGCCTGCTTCCCTCTGTGGATGCCCTGCAGTGAAAGCCTCCTGTAGTCATCCCTGGCTTGCTGTGCAAGGGAGCGTCTCTTCTCATCTGCTGCCTTGGATTTCCGCACTGGAACAAAAAAGAAGTTCTACAGGAGCAAACAAGCAGGCAAGTTTAAAGCTTGCTGCCCTTTGGCCATCTTCCTGCTTGATGAAGTGGAAGAATAACCCATTTCACAAGCTGAATGGTTCACTCAATTGTGAGATCATTTGCCACGTGTCTCCCACGTGTTACGTGGCATCTGCCACTTAACAGGGTACAGTGTTTATTCCTTCAAGACACTAAAAATCTGGGTTTTTTATGGATACCAACTCCCTTTGTACTTAGAGACTTCTTGGTTTGGTTTCAGATGCTGACTCCTGCTTCAGATATAGATTTCTGTAGTGCCTTTCATGTAAGCTGGTGGGGAGCAGGCCATATGGAATTAAAGCTGCTGAAATGACCTCAAATCAAACTTTTGAAGGAATTTGAAAGAGCCAATCCATTTTGGAGGGTGGGGGAGAGTCTTGCTGAAATTATTATGGAAAGTGGAGAACTTGGCTGTGTTTTTCTTTCTTTTTCTGTAAAACTGCCTTGATTGTTTAGGTCCACCTCACCCTGGAGTCTGTAGGAGTAACCAGCTCTCCAGTCAACTTTTTTTTTTTTTAATCAGTCAGGAAAATAGAACCCCTAGCCTGAAGTGGAAACAAATGGTGGTACAGCATTGCCATCTACTGAGCAGCAGGGAAGGAACTGGGAAAAAAAAATGCATCAGGTTCTCCCTCAGGAAGTATGTGGCAGCAGTGATGGATGCTGCTGCAAGTCTTACTGTTTGCCATTTTCCTTCCTATCATTGGGATTCATTACATGAGATAATGCAGCAGGGCTCTGCTTAGATGGGATCATGCCTGGATGACAGGGAAGCTCTTTTTAATTAGTTCTTGTCACTCATTATCCTTGTCCTCAAGAGCAATGGTTACTGCAAAGTCCTACAAAAGGCCAGCTTCTAGTTTAAGATTAATTATCCTCTCTACACTCATGTAGTTCCTTTGTTGCTTGTTTTAATATAGTATCAGTAGGAAAAGTTTTCCATTTCCCTTCCCAGCTCTAGTCTCAAGGCTACGTGGACTCAGAAATATTTCTGATAATGCAGTGCTGTCTTTCTTGGCAATACTCTCCACCCACTGGCCTATTATTCAGTTCCAGTGTGACAGCATAAGGGTTGAGATGACCCCACAGAGCCCTAGAATTTCTCAAGCCTCATAGGAAAAAGTTATCCCAAGATCTTACAGAATTCCTGCCATTCAGGCTCATTCTCATCCGATTTCTGCAATGTTCTCTGGCTCTCTGTGCTGGGGTGGCTCTGTGGTATTGCCTCCTGGGAGTCTGTGGTCTCTTCAGAATTTCTCCTCTGTGCTTCCTTTGGCTATGAAAGAAACAGTATGTTCAGCTTTGTTGCAGGCAAGTTTTAATCTTGCTTTTTAGCTAGCCTTGAAATACTGGAAACTCCATTTGGTATTGTGAATCCCTCCAACTTCAACAACATGCAGATCCTCTGTCTTTACTGCAGGTGACAACAGAGGAAGTGAGGGAAAACAGTCTACCAGAAATCATCAGGAGCATCTCCCTGTGCTACTCCCCAGTCTGCCAGTCTGGCCTGCTTTGTATCATCACCTAATTGTCACACTGTACATGAGGAGCATGGCAACACTGGTCCAAGAGGTGAGAACATTCTCAGATCAGATGAGGCTTTGAGGCTTACAGGGACTCTAGGATAAAGCCTGGGCCCCACTCAATGTTTCAGCAGCATCGTAGATTGCCACTTACCTTTTGGAAGCTAAGTTTCCTTATATGACAGTCTGCCAGCATCTGGTGAACATCTCTGGTTCCCCTCTGAGCAGAGCAAAAGAGTGGTGAGAAATAAATGCGATGTTAGGACAATTGCAGTCATGACATTTGTTAACAAATTTTGCCATCCTTCTCTGAAAAACACTGGGTTTTCCATCATATTAGGCCTAACATGCCACATGAGGAGAACTCAGAGGTGTCAGGATTGCCATAAGCATGTCTAGATTTGCTAAGCAATGCCCCCAAGTGCTTCCAGGGAGCAGCTTCTTTCCTCCCTCCCCCTAAATCAATCCCTTGCAGAACCTGTCATCCACAACTTTACAAGCCTGTGCTTGTTTGCGGCTGTGGCTGTGGTGTTGCAAACTCCTGCTCGACAGACTGACCCAACTAGCTGCATATCTCCTGTTTGCTCTCCCCTGCAAACCAGTCTGGCTACCCTGACAGCAGTCTCTAGCTGAGACCTGCCTTTGAAGGTGAACAGTTAGATTTGTCTTTGAGCAAACACCCACCCACCTCTCCATTGGACCCTGACTGCTCCCACGGCACAGTGGGTAATGAGGTAACTGTGCTACACTGCTTACCAAGGACACGCTTCTGTCACCTACTTGGCTAATATTTAATATGGACATGGCTTTACAATTTCCCTCTCCTCCAGGAAACTAGGGACTTCAAATGTGTGTGAAGCTGCTTTTTTTCTTAGATCTTTGTCTGTTCCCTGTAACAGACAAAGCACGATGCCTGGATCCCTTACATTAAATGGGAACTAAATCTTTTCAAATTAGATTTTTGGTAGTAGCTTGGGGTTTGCTTTTTTTCTTTATTTTCTTTTTTTTTTTTTTGTCGGCTGTGACTAATAACTTCCTATGAAAAAAAAGTCTCCCACATAGTTGCTCAACTTCAGCAAACAGTGCAGAGAAAAACCTCATGTGACTCAGAGGCTTTTGATAAAGGAGACAGCCACTCCAAATTCCCTTCACTATTTTGGTAGCAGCAGGAGAGCATGTTGCCAGAACCCAACCTTCTGTTATCATGCTTTTTATGCCAAAATATGGTGTGGCTGTACGATAAAAGAATATACACTCATACAAGTTCATTCAAGGCTGAATGAAAACTGCTGAATGAGATTGGTCTTCTCCCATTAAACTGGCAGGGTGTTCTGTTCCTTCTGTTCAACTGTGGTTGCATGGGTAGTTAATTTAACTCATCTTTTTCTCAGTTCTCTGCAAATGGCTTTTTGTAGCCAGCTAAAAATTAGAAATGTATTTATTGCTGGAGAAAAGTATTTCTGTCATAAAACACCACAGGAAAGCAGACACTGTAGTTACTGCATTTCAAATTGTCCTGTGCTGTCAGGGTCATAAGCTGTTTTCTAACTATTTTAGAAGACCGAAAAACCAAAGAACCACCTAAATATGTATGTCAGATGATGCTGGTAAAATTATCTTCATTTGTTCTTTTATAAAAGTGGATAATTTGTCTAATGGCTGTGACCTTACATGTACAGATCCTGGGATAGCCTGCCTGGTCTTGCCTCAAAAGCCATCCAAACCAGCCATAGTGCAGG